TGATATAATTCGTTCTTAAAAAATTGCTGGTTATTAGATGTGTGTATTTTTCAGTCTAATTTTCTCTCAAGGTTTTGAAGGTAATTTTCGTTATTTGCATGAATAAGGCAAGAATCTGGAAAATGTAGAAATCTAAAATTCAAATGGAAATCATTTATGTAAAATGAATTATAAAAATCTAGGTGCCTTTGCATGTGAATGATATCCTTAGGGTTGAGTTTTCTCCAGTGCACTGCTTCAAAGTCTGATGCATTTGCAACGGCAGTGTGTTAAGTTTAAGTTAAAATTTGTCAAAATTCAGAGTCTGCTTGAGAGAGAGGGGGAGAGAGGTGTGGGTGAGAATGACCCTCCAGTATGACTTTGTCCTTATGTCACAGCAAATGTGGCTTCCAGCCCTCCTTGGGAGTGGGCTTGCAGAGACCAACATAGCATTGCTTTCAGAAAGCTTTGATTTCCACTGGCAGTAGTTAGCTCAATCCCAGTTCTCATTCATGTCAAGTTCAAGCATCTCTCACTGAATCTACATCTTAATTTCTTAATTTGATCTCAAGTTTGGAATTCAGATTCACCAGCCTGCTGTAAAAGTCGTGCATGAATTATTAGACTCCCATTGTCGGTTAAATCTCATCCTTTGTATTTTAAGTCACCCATTTGCATTCATGTCAAATGCTTTCAGAGAGTTTATCAGAAGAAGTGAAATAAGAAATGAAATAGTTTCACGTAAACTGCATTTTTATGTTTGACTGCTAAAACCACAAAGCAGAGATAAAATACATAAAACTAAGGCTCTGCATAATAAGCATATCTATTAGTTTCCCCTATCTTTATGAAGCTCCCAGTTGTCATGAGAAGCATTGTGTGTCACTCATCTTGCCTTGTTCTACAGAAGCTGTTTTCTCCCTTTCCTTTTATCTCCTGTTGGCATTTGCAAGGTAGGAAGCTTGGCTGGCATGGTGCTGCAAAGGACCCTGTTGACTAAATCATTGTTTAACCTTCAACCCCTTAATAGCAGCAGGAAAAAAAAATTATGCTGCTGCGCGCCTAGATAAAAATGTTCCTGGCACTCTGCTGGTTGCAGCTTTTGCAATCACAGCAGCCCAGGATTAAGGAGAAGATGTTGGGTCGAACCGTCTCAGGGTAAGTCACGTCCAAGTGTGGCCAAATTCCCATGGGATTAGTCCATGGAAAACCACATGGGTGGCCTCTGGCCATAGCATGTGGCTGTGGAGGTGCTCAAGCACTAGGGCAGAAATCTGCCCCCTGCTTTTGGGAGCGATGTCCCACAATGTCTTGAGAAACCTGTGCCCACTCTCCTGAAACACCCATGTCAGGAGCAGTGGCTCAGAGGACAGCAAATGGTTCCAGTGGTAGATGTTTGCTGGTAGCTGATGGTACCTACAAACCCACAAGCTCATCACGTGTAGTTAATCTGGTTCTGGCACAAGAGGACGTGGCTTCTGTGCAGGTTTCGAGGAGCTCTGCAAACAGGACCCTCCTCTTCTCTTGGTGTGTACTGTCTTCACTTGCTCTTATCTTCTCTTTCTGAAAAGAAGTGCTAGTATTGCATATCCAACTCATCAGCTGTTCCAAAATTCAGAAAACACCATGCATAGGTAACAAATACTTCTATGGGGACCCATTTGAAAACTTCTTGCTACACAGTGCTTTTGAAAGTGTCTCTTCCTCAAAATGCATCTTTCCTTCTGCTTTTCTAGGATGTTTAGCCGCTGTCACACACAGTGTGCCTGTGACATGTCTGTGAGTGTGGTGATATAAAGTTATTTTGCTTAACTGACAATTTCATAAAAATCCCTATGGGGAGCTGCTATTTTCCATGCTGAACAAGTAGTTGGATTTGGGTGGAGAAGATCTGTAACCAAACATAAATATGCCACTTCTGTCTGTGTAATATAAACAACTCATTATGTGTGTCATGCTGGCAATGCCGTGCCATTAGCTTTCATATTTTTTGCCTTGTGGTCCAAATTCCTGCTTTCTCTATAAATGGTCTTTATATTCTCTAGGAAAGTGAATCAAGGCTTAGTTGCAAAACACCACGATGTATTTTCCACCATATGGCTACTTTAACAGACTTTCTGCCACTTCAGGTCGTTTGAGATAACTGCTCCACAAAACAGCACTTTGAAGTACTGATACATCTTCTGTATTTCTGATGGAGCTCTTCATTGACATAGATATTTTATAACCTTGCAGAAATGTAGATCCTGCTCAGGAATACTGCTTAGTAGCAGCGCTCGTCAAGTTTAGTTACATATCTTGTATGCAGAAACAGAGATAATTCTCTGCAGTATCCTTTTCAGACTAAACCAGGACCGCAGGTGTTATTTAAGCAACCTTTCTTCCCAAGTATTAGTAAGTGTGTGTGGTCTGAGTACAGAGCTGGGAGCCAGATGGGCCTGGGTATAACGTCAGTTGTCAAGCATGCAGTCCACAGCATCTCACTGGCCTTTAGAGGTGTTGGTACTTGCAGCTCCTACAACAATCGCAGGAGGTTTTTGTAAAATAGAAATAATAATTACCTAACTTAGCGAGGCTAAAAGCTGGTAGTAAGTTACAAACACTTTGAAGTTAAGGAGGGTATTCTTCTGTTTAGCTTTCAGCCCTTAAATGTTATATTTAATGTATTTCACTTCTAGCTATTAAATTTATCTGATAAATATTGAAGTCCATTTTATTTATACCAGTGCAATGCATTTGACCCCAACTGAGTTACAGCTGATTTATGTGAACATAACTGAAAGGAGGATCAGCTCCAAGGAAGGAAATGCATTGTGAACTGTCTTTTAAATGTTCTAGAAGATAAATAGATGTAGTGCTTATGTACATGGAAAAAAAGGTAAATTGTATATAACTTTATATAGTATTTTATTATAGTGTGTGTGTATGTATGTATGTGTGTATATATATGTATACACATATATATATACACGTATATGTGTGTATTTCCAAGGCCAGGCTGGATGGGGTTTTGAACATCCTGATCTAGTGGAAGGTGTTCCTGCCCATGACAGGGGGGTTGGAGCTAGATGAGCTTTAAGATCCCTTCCAACCCAAACCATTCTATGATTCTATACCTGTAGTTTAACAACATTCAACTGCAAGTTATAAGGTAAGGAATAACCAGTCAGGTAGTAACTCCTCAGCGAAGAGCAGCAGGCAACAACGCTACCTGCCTGTGAAAAAATAAACATTGTGTTTCACAGCAGTGCTGTAAGATAAATTCAGAAAATAATCCTCCAGCAAGGCCTTCAGTAGAGCAGCACACTCATCTTTGAGCATCGCATGTCAGTGAGGCAGCTGGTCAACAGTAGTATCCAGGTGAGGGGGAAACAGAAGGGCCTGAGATCTTCCCCGTGACTGAAGTTGGGAGAAATTACCCCAGTATCTGTCAAAGGCCAAGGGGCAACATGGTACCATGCTGATCTTTAGAAGTTCTTCAAAAGACAAAAAATATTTAACTGTATAAAAGAAGGTGACATAGAACATGGTGGCCACTGTTGTCTGTGCCACCTGGAGAGGACAATTAGCAGCTTCGTTCAGGCACAAACTGAACCTTTCGGAGTCCTGAGTACTCTGAGAGGGTTTGGTTAGGAGGCTGTGAAACCTCCATTGGAGGGTGGGTTTAGGATGTGGGTAGACAGGGTGGTCTTGTCAGAAGTAGTTCTGGTGCCAATGGTTGCTTCTTGGGCAGGAGCCTCCTCCCAGACTCAAATGGTGTAACTTGTCCCAGTGTCTTTTCACTAGGCGAAGGTGAAATGGGCTATGTCCCAAAGTCCTGGCTTTGGCAAAGTTTCTGACAACATCAGTGCCATTTCCTTCTGGTAATGAGTAAATAGAAACTGAGAAGGCACTTTAGTTTCTGCTTGTCTGCACCTGTATAGAGACACACCCGTACGCAGAACGCTTTTTATCTTTCCTGTAAGGCATTTTATTGCTACCAGTGGTGGCCTTAATCACTATAATAGCAACTGTTTTGTGGATATAACTAGCAAGTCTGGAGACATTCATATTTTTCTAAATATGGGAATTTGGGAGTACCTGGGCAGAGTCAGCATTTTACTCTGCCATTATATTTATTCATGGAGTTTTCCATCAGAAATTCAGACTGATTAGCACTGCATAGGAGGAGAAAAGGAAATAGTGTTCTGAAGAAATCACCCTCAATGTGTGATGATTTTCCCATCTATATGTATTTGCTGTATATTTAATTTTTGAAAAGGATCTGCAGAGACACTGCTCCTTCTTCGGCTCCCTAACACCTGTGTTGCGCTGTCTCTGTGCCTTTTAACTGTGCCTAATCCTCTTCACTCACAAGAACTGTTCTAGTTTATGTCCTATGAAACGATAATAATAATAAAAGCTTTTCTACCACTGTATATTTCCATATGGTTTTGGATCCTTGTGCTTTCTTTGGATGCTGATCTCGTGGCAGTACCTGTTCTCTGACTTGCACATGTACTGTATTTTCATAACAAGCATAGCTGAATGTCAAGAGCACATAAATCATTGTGTATTCTCTGCAAAGTTATTTCAATGAATTGTAGAGAATTGAAGTATAGAAAATAACAAAAAACACCCCTACCTTTCTCAAACTTTTAAAAAAGTGATTTCTTTTTACTAACCTGTATTATTATAATTCCTCTTCTATAACTTACAGGAGACCTGAATTTAAATTTATACCAGTGTTATTTCAAACCAGATCTGTTCTTCACTCTTTAAATAAACAGGAAGCTATACCATAAGTATACAGTAAAAATCCTGTTGTTACAGGCAATGAATGTTTCTGTCATTGAGCCTCGAAGAGGCTGTTCATAGATCAGATAGCTGGTGTGTGTTGAACCTCACAGTGGTTTACATTGCATCTTTGGTTACAAACTCATTAAAATTTGCTTTTAAAAGGTTACCTAGTGTTTGAAATACTACAGCCTTCTTGCCAGTCATCTTATTTGTAATAGTGTCTCATGTGTTGTGTCTCCTAGCTCTACATACAAACTACCACACTTACAATATCCATGAACTTAAGTGCTTCAGTGGCCCTGGGAATGCTTTACATGCCGAAGGTGTACATCATCATCTTCCACCCTGAGCTAAACGTCCAGAAACGGAAACGCAGCTTCAAGGCTGTGGTCACAGCAGCAACCATGTCATCACGGCTCTCACACAAACCCAGCGACAGGCCCAACGGTGAAGCCAAAACGGAGCTGTGTGAGAACGTAGACCCAAACAGTAAGTACTGCTGATCTTCTGTTCGCTGGGGGATTTGGAGGCATTGACTGATATCTGAGGTTTAGGGGCTTTGTATTATTTGGCCTTCTCAGAGATTTTTGATCTCACACACATTTGCGTGAGAATTTGACTTAAATTAATTTTTTCTGAGTTGTGCCAGTTGGCAGCAACTCCTCATGAAATTTTTAGGGCTTAAACCCTGACAGTAACTGTGAATAAATCCTCCTCCTTTCCCTCCTCTGTGAGGGAGAGATCAGCAGCATCCTTGAGTACTGGACTCTTAGGCTTGCATCAAACCCAACCCTTCCTAACCCCAGAGGTACAGTTTGCAGGATGGATGGAGGGACAAGTACCAAACTCATTGATAACTCTGCTAACCTGAGTTATAATCTTCTTTCTTGCAAAATTCCTTTGCAAAAATCTCACAATCCTTGAAGATTCCCATTTAAGGATTTCCTCCGGTCCTAATGCAAATCTTGCCACTGATTTAAAAGGAAACTAGATCGAAAAGACACTTCCAGTTTCCTTAATGTGCATAGCATGGTATATTGTAGCACAAAATTACATACTGAGGCCATCAAATTTGATTTGCATTTGAATCTGGAAGGAGTTGAGGAAGGAGACAGCTGCACAACTTTGTAGCATATTGGAAAGGTTTAGGCATGTCTGCAGCTTTTATGAAAAACCAATCTGAATGTGGAGAAATGCCCTTTCCTTGCCCGTGATCCGTTCATCCATTTGCTGCTGAAATCCCTGCCACTTCTTGTCTATTAACTGCTGCCTGAATACCTGCCTCAAAGCAGAAACTGCTGTCAAAGCAAAGTGGAAACAGCCAGCAAATTATTGACACAGCACTTTTCCTCTCTTTATTCACCCCTTGACTATTTTTCTCTGTTTTTTTATCGTGCAGATATACAAAATACACCCTATGTAAAAAAACAAAATTTATCCTTGGAAACTGAACTATCTGAACTATGATTTTGACATAAGACAGTAAGGAAATGCTTTTCATAGGTTAAGGACCAGATTATGCTTCCTCCAGTCCTACTGAACAGAGCCTGCACTGCAAGAAGGGATATTAACTAGCAAGAGTGAGAGCTGCAGAGTCCTCTGCCAAGTCAAGTTTCTGTTAGGTGATACAGGCTGTGGTGAAGGAACCCCTTTCTTTATCTCTGGACTCTAAATCTACCCCTCACTATGGTGCTGCGGCTACCAAGGTCCAACCCTCCAGCTCACAGAGCCCAACCTCCTCTGGGTGTTCGGGAGGATGGCTGAGGCAGCTGGGTTGGGAAAGGCCTTTGGGATGGAGGGAGAGAGAGGAGGAGGAGGAGAGAAAGGGGTTTTGAGAGACAGCTGGGAAGGGCAGGTGAGTTGCTGAACTGCATTTCACTAATTGCTGCTCTGGTCAAATGAGTTGAAGTTAGTTACTCCTCCAGAAAAATCAGAATCTAAAAATTTCCATTCAAAGACTTGAACGACAACAAAGCTATAAAAGTTCTGATGATTCCATTTTCAGTGTAGAAACAGAGGTACACCTCTGAAGGAACTACAGCTTGGGGGTTTCCCTTCTGCTCTCATTCTACTGTGCTGCATCTTATTGCAGTTTTCACTTCTGAGAACATTTCCCCCCTGCCAAAGAACAGTCACATTTTTCCCTGGGAAGGAGATGTGTTTATTATAAAGAAATACTGCTTACTTAAACCCCTATGTTTCTGGTGAAATACATTTTTTTCCTCCAGGACTATATGCTAGGCTATGTTTATAAGAGGCAGGAGAAGTAGTGAGGGACAGAATCTCCCTGCTTGCTGAGATGTACTACGTTCGGCCTTAAGCATCCAGCCTTCAGTCCCAGTTTTGTTAACACTGAGTTAAAGCTGGGGCAAAATCCACTGGGAGCAAAACCCTCAAAATTGGTGTGCATGAGGGGAGAATGCTTTCTGTGAACCCAGTTGCTTACGTATAGGATTCTATAGTATATAAATTTGTTTATCTTTTTGTTCAACGTAGCCAGCAAGGAAATGTGCACTATTATTAATTTATATTAATTTATATGTCTTTCTCTGAGTACTGGGCTTTTAAATATTTTATGTTTTGGGAAATAAATTTTCTTTTAAATACTTTAATTATTTATACATATAGTACCATCTGTTCATATTATCAGCTGCACCTACTATGACTATTTCATTCCCTGTATATGTGTGTTAACAAAAATTATTAGAAAATCAAATGAAATAAGCTACTGCTGTACTTAAAGTATTTGGGCACATTTAGTCACAGCCTAGGCTACTACTGCGTTTAGTGGGAGCTTTCCTATAGCATTCAATAGGCTGTTAATCCCTAACATTCAACACGCGTCTTGTATGTCTATACAAGTTCAATATCTGAACTGAGAGGGTTTTTTTTAACCCTAATATTTTGCTTGAAAAAAGGAAAAAAATCTACAGTTCCAGTTTTAGGTGGAAAAATTGAAAACCATATCAGTGAGCTCAATAAAAGCAAAACCCCCAAACTTCATTTTCAGTGAAATTTTCAGTATGATGTTCATAAATAAATCAAGTTTTGATGTTTTCATAGCAATTAAACTAAAAAAAAAAAAAAAAAAAGAAGAAGATATTTCATATAGCAGATGGGGAATTTTTCAGAATTTCACCAATTGGAAAAGAGGAAATGTGAATAAAAAATTGCCCTGGATGCTTCCATCAGTGCTAGGAGCATTCTTTCAAATCTCAAATAGCTTCATTCAAAAGAAAACAAAAAGAACATGTTTTCAGTATTTCTCTTCTTAAAATTGGTTTCAACCCACTAACGATGGTTAACCATCACCTATGTATATGGAGGGGAGCCGGCGACTGCTGCAGCGACCTCCCTGCTGTGACCTGGGGAGCACAGAGATGGGAAGTTTTGGTTGTTCCCTCTGTGCAGGCTCCTCTGGAACCCACTATGTCAGGCTTAAAGTAAATTAATTGATGGGTATTAAAGGATGAGTCTGAGACCCATCAGCGCTGTGCAAAGCTAACTTAGGTACTGATCTGGCTTAGCTACCAAGTGTTTTCTCCTAAGTGGAAAAGTACAGTTGGGTTTTCCAGTTTGATTTTCTATTGTATCTCCTGATGCTGCTGCTCTTCATGGGTTGCTCAGGTACTGGAGACTGGAGTTGCCATGTCTATTGAAATACACAAATGTTTCATATCTCCTAAGATATTAACACTGAGCCACCAGCATGGGGTTCATGTACCTCCAAACATTGGGGAGTTTGGTGACTAAGCCCAAATTTATGGCCTGGCCTACTTATATGCCAGAGTCAAAACCAAAAGCAAAATGTGGATGATTTTACACAAAAATAGCTTGCAAAAAATCTCCATGATTTAGTAGACCTTTAAAAGAATGCCTAATGAACTGAAGATGTGCATGTAAAACTGGGAGGTCTATAAATTACCTGAGTGGCTCCCTGAGAGCAAGTTGTCCTCAGCAGTGGTGCTGAGCATCGTCTGGAAACGCTGTGCACAGCAATCAGGTGATCTGCAGGAATTTGAGCTCAGAAAAAAATGAGCAGAGCACTCAGGAGAGCTGGGATCAAGCACTGGGGGTTTAGCATGAGCATAAAAGAAGAAACTGCATTAATGTGGGAGGAAAATCACTTGAAATGCAGTGACCTTATATCCCACCCTCAGCAAGAATGAGGACTCGCTGTGTTGCAGCTTTTTATTAGGATGTATGGGAAGCAAGAAATACCAGAAGTTGAGCTGCCCAGCCATGGTCTGGGAGGAGTTTCATGCTGAATAGGATATATTAAGGTCAAATTTTTCAGTCTACAACTGTGTTGCTTATGAAAACTTTTTTCATCATTCCAGTTTGCCATCTGGCATGAGCATGCTTTAACTCATTCAACAGCTTTTTCCTGCTAATACATGTTTGCAGCAGATTCAGATGAGCAGAATTCAGTACACAGCAGCTTCCATCCATGTAACAAGTTCATTCTGCCCTCATGTGTCTTTGATTGAATTTCATACTATTTGAGAAGATGCTTCTCACCAAGTCTGAAGTTGAACAGATAGTGAGTGCTTCTGCTCAGTTGTCTGCTTATTTCTGCTGCAAGAGCAGAGTGTCAGACTATGACAAAAACATTTGAACGTCCAAACCATACTTAACTTATATTGAGATTTACATGTAATTACTCCTTTTTCCTAGCAACTTGTTTTAATTTGTGGCTTTACCAAACAGAGTGACAGGGAAATCAGCATCTCGGTTGTTCGGTAATGAGAAGGTTGTGCTTCTTTCAGGCTGGACGAGCAGACCTTACAGGAAGGGTGTTTGCTTTCATGCACTTCCCTCTGGAAGCAGCCGTGAGAAGAAAGCTGAGCTGCTCAGTACTTCCTGGGACCCGCTTTTCTGGGACTGGCTTTTCTCAGGGGGTGTTTTCTTGCAGAAATGGGGATAGGGATTTTCAGGACTTGGCAGTGTTGGTCTTCCAGTGTCACAATTTCCAATTTCATGGGGAAAAGCTCACCATCTATGAGAATGGCTCTGAGATCGAGTAGTGTGAAGTATCCTAGTAGTAAACAGCAAAGAATAGGAGGCATGCAGCATCTCTGTGGCAAAGACCGAGTAAATCAAAATGACAAACAACTCTTGGACAGATGGAGCAGCTCTGGGGAGGAGGCCGCTTTCCCTGAGCAGTTTAGCTGGGATTTGTTGAGAAGTGGCAAAGGAAAAGTGTCACCATGGGCTAGCCAGAAAACTTTAAGGTCTAAACACTTAGAATTTTCAGTCTAATTTTCAGTACTGTTACAGTTTTGTGGAGTTCTAAGTTAGCAGGTGTTTTGAGGGCTCTGTAACCCATACAGACATATTCAAGGCAATTTTTTTCTCTTTCTCCTTTATTTAGCATTAAGCCAAACTTACTTGCCTGTTGATTCAGATCTCAGTAGTGAAGTGCAGTCACTGCCTCTTTTCCCCCCACAGACCAGGCACTGTTTGCATGTTTCCATTTTAAAATGATG